CTTCTACATAAACTGTACAGCGTTTGAAGACGATAAACTAACTACAAAATTTCACTAGTCCAAGATACTCTGGAAGAAATGAAGCCTTCCTCAATAATAACTCTGAAAACGTTTTCATAACCACTAAAAATTGAGGGACTCCAAGAATCAAGTAACTCCCTAGCATTAAAATCCTATAGAAATGTTTGCACCGGAACTCATCAGTAAAGAAGTCCCCTTCATTGCTCTGTTCCGTGAAGCGCTAAGCAGCGAAGCGTAAAAAACAGACTGATAGGAAGATTGGAACTGCCGACAAGCAGTACTTCCTAGACGAATTTCAAAATGCTTTTACGCATTATCTTCGAGAGCCAGGAAGGACAGTCCCCAGCATGGTAAGAAGATCCCAGTAAACTCATACAATACACAAAAAGCAGTCTTAAGAAAGAAAAAAGTGCGAGAAGCCCACCAAGCTGACACAGAAACCCAGCAAGCTGACATCTTGAGGACAAAGATGAGAGGTATACCTATCTTATTCAACAAGTATGCACCACAATCTCTGTCCCAAGACTGCACGTTGGTGCAAGTTCCACAACACCGACAGTGTACTCCTAAATGTCGAAAAAGGAAAGAATGCGCCCACCTCAAGCTCTTCAATACCACTAGGCTGAAGACAATGACGTACGGACGTGAAACATGCTCATCCGCGGAAGCTGACGAGTGAGCACTGGCTGTGACGAAGCGAGCGATTGAGCGAAGGATGCTTGGCGTATCGTTCCCCAACCATTTAAGCAGTCAAACTTTCCCTCCGATGAGCTGTGTGCAGGAAATCATTGCAACGATGCGAGTAAAACATGTCATTTTACTCGCCTTGCCAATAACTAGTGGATATTGTCAAACTGTGAGTGGTAAGTAAACGACCACCTGGGACAACTCGCAATGAATGACAAGAATACATCGAAGAGATCGTGAGTACCGAGTGTAAATAGACAAATCGAAGGGCCCAGCACAGCTGCGTCGGAAAAACAGAGCTATCTCAGCAAAATAACTAACGTGCGATACCGACTATGACCCTTCAAAAACCTCAATTTCATATAAAAAAAAAAAAATATTTCAACTTCGGTTCAGATCTTATTACACCACTACTGCTTCTAGGTCTCATGATGCTGCAGAGAAGGGGCAAAGTAGGAAAAAAAAAAAATCAGTGCATCGATGAGGACGTGGAAAAGTGATGGTGCGCATGCTGCGGTCAGATTGCAGATGGATGGTGCTAAGTTAGGAAAAGTTGGCATTTTCGGACATCTCAAGCTGAAAATTGCATAGAGCAACCGCTGCCGGAAGACATAAATTCCGGAGCGCCGCCGATGTTTTCGAAGAATCATAGAAGGATTGTGCGTACCTCTTGAAAATCACTATGATGGAAGCAATTGCGTAGGGAATAGTAGAAGCTGAGTGTGACGAAGGGAGCGAAAGACTGTTGAAAAACGTCCCTTCATGACTATATCCCTTCTATCATACCATACCCCAGATCAGAACAGCGACATACCGGGGGACACTGCAACCACGCAAGGAAATAAAATTGAATAGACAAGACCCGTTATCTGTTCTGCTGACATCCAGATGGAAGTCAGGTAACAGAAAGCTCTGTACCGGCAAATTAGTAAACGACCGAAAAAACGGCTCAAGTTGCGCCCGAAAAAACGCCTAACACACATAAAACAAGTGGTAAGTACCAACTGTAAATGCACATGCAGCTCCAGATCCAAATGGTCTGGCATAGTTGCAACTAGCGCAAGCAAGCCTCTCCATACTGATAGTCCAATTAGCCTCGTCAGTTTTTAATAAATACTTTAACTGCATTCACCGGTGCTTCCCCAA